CACACCCGCCCACAACTCGGTGTTTTCCGCGGGGGCCTGCCAGTCTCATCCTCTTGTATCTCCCACGCTCCTCCGGCGAGCTAAGAAAATGTTTATCTCCCTGAGCCTGGCCTTCATAATTCCTTTCCATCACAATGCTACAGATATGATGGGGAGGAGACTCTGTAAAGAACATATCAGTTCTGCTACAGGAAAGACTGCTGTATGGAGAAGTAGGGGCTTAATTTACTACCCCACATTCCCACATTACAGCAACATGGAAGGATATTGTGGAAAAGAAAGCATTTGGCCTACTGGCATGGTATCATATGAAACCTTGTAACTATAAAATATTCTGAGGCATTTAATATAATAAAGAAAGAATGACCATTTCCTCAGAGGCTAAGCTGAGATGGCTTATTCTGCTGCTGCTGAAGCAATGCAATCCCACTTATATCTTAATAAATGTTTTAATTGCACTTAATGCATATTCTTCTATTAAATGGCTAAAAGTGCTTCTATTTAGCAGGCATTCAGGGTAATGTGCAACAAAAATATCACTTAAAAATGATCACAAAACCAAGGAATGACTTAGAAAAAAATATTGCACTCCCTGCTTCTTTCTTCTCAGCCACCATGCTGAAAATTATTGCTTTTCATTGCCATTAGCACCAGGACACCAAGGATCTTGAGTAGGTTTTCTATAATTGTTCACCATCACAGCATCTCTGCTGAAGATCACTGTTTCCTCATGGTTTGTGAGAGCATAATACAGGGATTTTTTGCAGTGTCAATGGGAGGAGGAAACTATATGTGTAATCACTGGCCCTAGTACCAGAGATGGTCTCAGGCCTCAAAAAACATTTCTGAGACAAAGTTGTTTCAGCGTATCATTTACATGCTCACATTTATTGGAAAACAGTCATTCCAAAGATTAAAATACTAATTTATCCTTCTAATACCTTTGCTCTGCAGTGCCCATCACTACATCCGTCTGTGTTCAGGAAGTATGTCATTGGTCACCATGGTATGATGGGAGTCAGCCTGGCTCTGGAAAAAATGATGGAGATTTTGAAACATTTGAGAACCTAACAGCCAAAGGTTATCAAGTCTGCAAAAACCCCAAAGCTGTTGAATGCAGAGCAGAGAAATTCCCCAGTACTCCATTAAATAAACTGGGCCAAAAGGTAGAATGCAGCATAACAATGGGATTAATCTGTTATAATATGGAACAGTATCCAGAAATCTGCCACAATTATCAAATCAAAATTCTATGCTGTAGCTTTGTACCATGTGGCAATTATACTACAGCATTCACACCTGAACCTACCACAGTCTCTCGACTTCACACAACTACACTACCAACTACCATTTTGACTCCTACCACCGCTTCCACAAGTACAGTTAAAGGAACCACTAGCATCTTAACAACAACCCCAGAAACCACTTCTTTACCTACCAGCACTACAGTCCAACCTACCATGGGAACTGGATCTCCAACAACACAAACAAAGGAAACACCAACTTGCAAACCCATCTGCAGATGGACAGAATGGTACGACGTGCATTTTCCTACACTGGATAATGAAGGAGACTTTGAAACATATGACATTATTAGAGCTACCGGAAAAGATATCTGTGAAAACCCAGAACATATAGAATGCAGAGCTGAGAAATTCCCTGATAAAACAATTGATGAAATTGGCCAAATTGTCCAGTGTAATGTGTCCTTTGGATTTGTTTGCAGAAATGAAGATCAGTCAGGAATGCTGCAAATATGCTATAACTATCAAATTAAAGTCTATTGCTGCAACACTGAATGCTTGACCACTCCTCCAGAAACTTCAACAACAGTCATAACAACAAGTCAGACAACTTCTACGTTCATTACTACACCTTCAGGAACAACAAAACCAAATATTACAGCACCACACATTACAACTACCTCAGTTCCAGAGACAACTACAATTACAATACATCCTACAACTAAATCTACAACCACTCCTCCTATAACTTCTACTACACAATTTCCAATCACATCTACTATGCCAACAATTTCCACTGCAGCTCCTTTAACTACCACATTTCTTCCAACGTCAACCATAACTGAACCAATCACAGTACCAACCAAAATACCTCTTCCAACTACAACACAAACAGAAATACCTACAACTATTTTAACAACAGTTATATCTTGCATGGAGGAAAAATGTGAATGGTCCCAATGGTATGATGTTAGTTACCCAGGAAATGGACCTGATGATGGAGATTTTGAAACACTGAAAAATATAAGAGCCAAAGGATATGAAGTTTGTAAAGCACCAAAGAATATTGAATGTCAAGCAGAAAAATATCCTAATGCATCACTTCAGGAACTGAAACAAAAACTTACATGTGATACAACAACAGGGCTCATATGTCATAATAAGGATCAAATAACACAAATCTGTCACAATTACAAGATCAGAATTGAATGTTGCAAACATGTACTTATACCATGCCCAACAACACCAACACCAAAAATAACTGCTACACCACCAAAAACAACAGAAACTCCTACATCAATATTAACAACAAAACCACTAGTAACTACTACACCAGAAAAGCATATTTTTACACAATATCAAACAACAAAACAGCCATCTACAGAACCTCAGGTGGTTAAAACAACATACTCTACAAAAAAACCACCACCCACAGAGAAAACAACATCATTTACTAAAACATCAGCACAAATATCTACGAAAGAAATAGGGACTACTACTACCACAGCTAAATCAACAAAACCAGGCTCAACCACAACGCCCATTGTAACGAAGACACTGGAAGTGCTAACCACGAGCGTTCCCCAAACCACCTCAACAGGGCCAACCGCAACCACCAGCAGCACCACCACCAAAGCAACCAAAGAGACAACACCCACCATCACAACAACTGTTACCAGGCCCACGACTCCCACAATAAGCACTACCGCTTTGCCCACCACCACAACGTTACCTTCTACAAGCACAACTCTCCCCACGACCATCCCAACGAAGACCACCCCATGTGCACCCGTCACCTGCCAGTGGTCAG